TCCAAAGGCAGAAAAGAAAGTGTTGGGAGCCCATGTATTCTCTCTAAACCAAAACCCATGTACTCTTAAAAATCACACAACTCAATCCCAAAAATGTTTAAAATCATTAGAGGCCTTGATGATTCTATGTTGATGGTGGTATCATATATAGAACTATAAATATAAACTTTCATATTAACCATAGGATTCATCTTAATAGTAACTTCACTTAAATTTAATAAAATGATCTTGTTGCTAATATGAAGGTCCACATAATGAGTCCATCTATGACATGACACCCTTACTATAGAATTTCGTTTGATGATGCCTCCAAATCAAACCTACATTCCTTTACATGTGACATTTTGATTAATCAAGTGCAAACAATAACAACAACACAAGAAACTTACACATAAAAAGTGCCTGGTTTAATTCCAGGACCTAAATTTTCATTGAAATAGGAATTTGGATTGCACCCTTATCAGTTTTCCAGTGCAATTTCAGTACATAAATCAAACTATTTACAAACAATGGTTTACCCTAATAAATAACAATAGCCTCGTCATCCTTTTTGTCAACATACACCACAAAAAGAAACATCGGGCATGCATACCCCACAATTTATCCAAAGACCCCATCACCATTTTCAAGCACTTGTGACCATTTTGATGTCTTCTTCAGCAAGGAAAGAGCTTGTTGGGTACTTTTGGTCCTTCTTTGTTGGGTAAGAAGCCTCCATTGCAATCCCACACTTGCCAGTGTATGTGGTAGCCACGTTTCTCTCCATCTTAAAATATCCACTCTCACCCCAATTGGTGCCCCATGAGTTCCTCACAAGCCAATAGTCTGTTCCATTCTCTGTGCCATACCCAACAGCAACCACACCATGGTCCAAAGCTGTCCCACATTCACCAGTAAACACACCCTGCCAATCACACGGCCCGAAATACAATGAGTAATTTACAGACATGTTATGTTGTTAGATTGTTATATTTAAATACGCGGTGTCATATGCATGTAGGTGCTCACCGACTGGTAGAGTTGTAGAGCCATGCCACCAGCTTCAATAGCAACGCTAACGGGCTGATGTGCCACGGCTTTCTTCAAAGCGTTCTCATTGTAAGCGGGAACATCTTCGTATCCATCGATGCTAACAACCTTATTGTTCTCCTGCAATTTATGGTTCAAAAAAATTGTTTGTTAAGAAAAAAGAACGTTACCCTAAAAAGATTATTGTAATTAGGTTAATGGGGATTGAAAATTGGGACTGACCAGAGCAACGTTACATTGTTGGTCGTACGCTTTGTAAGGGTAGTCTTTTTCGGTGTCCATGCCACCGTTTTGGATGATGAACTCAAAGGCATAGTCCATGAGGCCTCCGTTGCAGCCTGCGTTGTACGACCGGTCACAGTCAACAAGCTCTTGCTCTGAAAGAGAGACCAATTCGCCTGTGACTATTTGGTTTATGCCTTCCACGGCCGCCACTGTCGAAAAAGCCCAGCAACTTCCTGCACCCAACAAATTTCAATCTTTTTGTCAGATGGGTTGGCCCATGTAGGCCCAGTGGGCCTAATGGTGGTCCTTAAAGGCCCAAAACCGAACATGGAAAGTTGAGAAATATAATTTTTATTTTATTTTATTTTATTTTATAAATACAAGTGATAATCTAAATTAATATAGTCAACAACATCTATATGGCTGATGAAGTCACCCAGCCCAATAATACAGTTTGTTATAAAAATACCGAGAAAATAAAACATTAATAAAATAAATAAAAGACTTTTAAAAACTTCTTTCCAATGAAAAAGTAATATTATAATTCTGCTTTCACGTGAGCTGTCAGGAATCTCAACTCCCAACCGAAAGTCCAAACTACTAGCAAAGCCTTTCGGTAAATTCAATAGTGGAGTGTCACGCAGGGCATCCACTATCATTTACTTTTCCTTTGTCGACAGAAGAATAAATAAAAAGTTGTAAACATACTTTGTACCAAAGAAATATAAATAAAAGTAGAAAGAGTTGGTGTTGAACACAAATAATCCGATTTTAATCCAACAAATCTGTTTAAATTAAATTGTATCTAGACTTGGGTTATAGATCAATCCGAACACAACACGATTAATCAAACCGATTAAACAACCATCTTAGTACAAAGTACCATGTAAATCAAGTTCCTTAATCAACCAAACAACTTTTAAAAAAAGGTTACATAAAAAAATTATTAATAATAAATTTAAAATTACTGACCGCAATTTCCTTGATTTTTGATGGGGTTGACGGCGCCCTTGACCCTCCAATCCACAGATGAAGGCAACGCCTCACCGGCACGAAAGGCATACCTTTGGCTAGGGTTCTTGGCCTTCATGACCCTACGCTTAGGGTCACTTCTGGTGCCCAGAAACTTGGCACGGTACTCTTGGTTGGTCAGGTCAGCAAAAGCGTTGAGGCCAACCTTGTAGGGACGTTCCTGGGCATTGTGCTCATCGATGAACCTCAAGTTGTCCTTGAAGATCTCGAACCTCCTTTCTTCCTCTCCAATCCCGTTGTAGGTTTTCTGGTGCTTCACAAGCCATTCTTGGTAGATTTGTTTGACCTCGGCCTCGCTTCGAGAGCCGACGCCTGAGGCACAGGATGAGAGGGTGAAGGAGAGGAGGAGGAGAGTGAAGATGGTTAGGGACATGGTTGATGACATGGTTTGGGAAAGAGGGTGTTGTTTGTGTTTCTCCAAAGAGATGTGTGCAAAAAGGTTGGGGGGCCTTTGGGTTTATAAAGGAAAAATCAGCAGAGTTTAATATTCAAGAATACTGGTGCGTCATAAACGATAAATAATGTTTTCGTGTGAAACTTGTTTTCTGAAGGGGGAGGATAAATTTTTGAGTCCAAGTAGAACACCGTAACATAATATTAATAATTCACATGTTATAATATAAGTTGACCATGAGTATATATTTTAGGGTTATATTTTAGGGAAATTTACTATTATACTCAATATAGGAGTTCAAATTATTATTTTTTTTAAAAAAAATACTATATGAAATAAACTTTAGAAACACATTCAAAGTTCATTTACAACATAACAAAAAGGGTTTAACTTTTTTTAAATTACAAAACTATCATTGATTTCTTAAACAAACCCAACCCCAAAACCTCATAAAAAAAACTCAGAACACTCAATAGGGAATCAAAGTAATTTAATAATCAAAATTAAATTCAATGGGGCCAGCTGTCATTTTTTGTTTGTTTATAAAAATTAAATGATGTAGAGTTTATCTGTATTATTAGTGCTAAAAATATGACTAAATATCTCTATGTTTTATAACAAAAGTGAATATGTAACAAGCCATGAGGCTAAATAGTTTACGTTGTTAAATTATGAATTTAAACCGGTATATTCAGACTTTCTTGCACGAATCAACCTGATCAATAATTCATATTCCAAAATAAATAAGTTATGTTGTGAGTCTAATAATAAAAGATATTTCTCGCATTTTGTGGCCAGCCGTTTACCTCCATTGGGAGAGCTCCCGTGGTGAAAGGGATTAGTCACTAGTACTACTGTCGACGGTGGATACCCTTGAGTCTCACCTAAAAATAAAAGATATTTCTAAGTCATTAATGTAAATAAATGGTATTGGGAAAGGAAGATGACAGAGGATTGGATGGATTTCAAACTGCCACACACACACCATGTGAATTTAGTATGGTTTGGTCCAACAATGTATGATGGAACTTGGAATTTGGGAACTTACAATGTATGATGTATGGACTGGAGGGGACTACGCAAGCTGCAATCAATAACATGGGGGCTTGGGAACTTGGAATTTGCCAAGTTGAAGGAACTCGTCTTCCCTTGCAGGCTGGCAGCAAATGGGTTCTTGCCACGTTGAATCCACTTACTGGTTAACTTGGAGGTAAGGGTTTCTCCTTCCTCCAATCTACCAGTCAAAGTGCTCGAACAGTGTGCGAAAGGGTTAAAGCAACCGAAAGAAAAGAAAAAGGCCCATATGCATGCATGCTCTATCATTTTCTTACCCCAAAAAAAGAAAAAGAAAAAGAACAAGTGTATGATTTCATTTTCTTTCTTTCTTCCTTTCTTCATCAAGAGGAAGGAAGGAGCATCCGAGCATGAGACTGGAAATATAGTCAGATTCATTCATCCATTTCAACTACTTAAACGAGAAGAAAAAAAAGATATATAATATAAAGTTAAACATGATCTAATGGTATTCTTCAAAAATTCATATAAACTATTCACATTTAATTCATATAAATAAAATAATAAAAAAATCTTCATGGATAAGTAAGAATTACTTGTATGAGAAGATAATAGAACGCTCCTTTTTTCATGAATTTTCCATAAAGAATATGTGCAAAAGAATTGGGCTTTGGTTAATTTCCAATTTCTATGGATGGACCATGGTATGGATTGTCTGTCTCTCTTTCACTTGCAAGTTGCAAGTTGGAAGGTTAGGTCACGTTGTGTGGATATATATATTGATATGTATATCCAACTAACAGTCGCTGCAATGAGCTCAGGAAATCAATCAATCAATCAACTACCCGTAACCCATGACCAATCATACACACACTCTCTCTCTCTCTCTCTCTCTTCCCACTATTCCTCTAATAATTACAGCACCCATTTAATTCGGCCCATCACGCCAGTTATGGAGGTTTCAGTTTAACTCCCAAAACGAACTCCTTTATACCCATACCTTAATTCTATAACATGCACGATGACGGAGAGAGAGAGAGAGAGAGAGAGTCCCAAAATTGTGAAAGTATACGATCAAATAATTACAAGATATTTTTATGTTGGACCAATGCACACATTACAAGACTACAATATCATTAATCAAGTATCGAATTCATTACAAATATGTTGTCCATGTTATTCATGTGAGTTGAACATAAAAGATAAAGCCTCTACCAATCAAGTGAAGACAAATATCATTATACAAAAGAGTAATTGATGGATGATTTCATGAATCTGATAGATTGCAAAACCCCATATTTTATACAACATGTTAGAACAATACATAGATCCTAATTCGTAATTTTAGAGGGTAAACTAATGTCCATCAAATGGAGAAAAACTTGTCAACATGCAACATGTATCTTACATCTGCTTGTATGCAAGACACCCATTGCTTGCAACAGGTAGGCAAGTTTTTCTCCTATGGACAAGAGACGCTTACAGTTAGCGAGCGTTTTTGTTTTTGTTTTTGTTTTTTCCAAAATTGGGCTTTTTCTTGGAACTTCAAATGAATGCTATTAGTGAGCCTTTTATTTTCTACCTTCTTTAGCAGAAAAACTCATATGAAACGAGAATAATACTATTTTACTATATTCGGCAAATCACAAACTGTCATGTGGAAAAAATTATCACACATGATATACCGTGATTGAACAAAGAGAGAAAAATAGTGCTATCCCCGTTTCATTCAAGTATTTCTCCTTCTTTAGGGCTTTAATAAAACAACCGGGTCTATCAAAAGGATTTTTCTTTTTCTTTTGGGTGCGTACAAAACAAAGGGATAATGAAATGGGCCGAAGCAAAGGTTTTGCTCTCATTGTCTTTGGGCCATTTATGTACGTGTCACCCTGAGAAAGAATTGCAGATTACAAAGCTTTTGAAACGAATGGAAAGGCATTGCTCTGTCATGTTGCTTCAAGTAAAATCACAAAGGCATTGGTTTGATATGAATGGAAATTTTATTACATTTGGTAATGTATCGTTTCTACGAAATCCAACTGAAAACAACTCTATAATTCCTATTTAGAAAAATATGTATAAAATTTTGAATACAACTTCCTGCAAGGGAGCAGCAGATGCAGTACGACTCGGTCGATGTACTTTTCTGCAAGAGGCCACAATATCAAGCACCCAAATCCCCAAAAGAAACAAAGAATTGTGAAACTACTCAAATGCACATATCAACTGACCCCCTATTACAGGTGCCTAACTGTATGTACCCACCGAGAACATTTGCTTTACTGCCTCTTTCAACTAAAATTACCGTGATCCCTCTTCAAATGAATTTCGTCGATGCTGAAGACCCGAAGAAGTCTCAAATTCACACAACTATGTATTTTGAGCGTCAATCGCACGTGTTTCAGTTTTGTTCAGTATGCCTTGCAGTAGCCTGTGTGTCGATCATTTTTGTCTCGCGCTTTCTCTTGCTTCGAGAACTTTTCTTCACTCTGGTTGTTCGAATTTTTGTAGAATGTTTCACTATGTGCTCTTCGACTGCAGTTTCTACTTTTCCATCAGATGGGAGTTCAGGAGGAGCATCAGGCCATGGAGTACGTTTCGATGGTACAGTAATTTCCAAAGGAGGATCAATAGTCCATCTGTACAAAACGAAATTCAAACTAATTGCTCAAACGGATTGCAGAATAAACATGATGAAAAGCTGACTACATGGAGAATCAAACATAACTATAGATCAAACTATGATGGTTCATGGATGAAAAATATCACGCATTTCAAGTGAGATAAATTTCACTATTAACTATCAGATCACTAGAGTTCAACAAAGAAAGAGGGACGGACCCATGATTTCAGAATGGGGTGGGCTAGATTTACTTAAGGGTGGAGGTTACATTTTGAACTGGGCTAAACCTTAAACCTATATACTAACTATACGGAAAAAAAACGAATAAAAAATCTCACCTGGGCTTGCCTTGGGACCGTAAACCATCAACGTCCTTACCCACAATTATTGATTCTTGCTGGGATAAGGAAATAACAATAATACTAATGTCCTATTAAATCATTAAAAAAAAAAACATAAACTAATTACTAGGTGCAATTGCACAAATTCATAAAGGAGCGAGGTTCAAATTTCCAATCAGAATTGCCGGAAATAACAATAATACTAATGTCCTACTAAATCTTTAAAAAAAAAACATAAACTAATTACTAGGTGCAATTGCACAAATTCATAAAGGAGCGAGGTTCAAATTTCCAATCAGAATTGCCCTCATGCAACCAATAACTAAACTACCAATAGCAAGGTAAATGGACATCAAATATAAATCCCAGTTTATACGAATAAAATGTTAACACAATTATATCTGTAACAATCGAACCCTCACATGTGGGCCTCCCCGACCACTGCAAAATTTAAGCAGTAGATTCAAAAGAAATTATAATGCTGCAATAGGAAAGATTTTTTTTGGTATCCACTGTAACAAGAAACTTAACAATTAAGATGTGGGACAACAATTACATATACTCTGGCATATACACTACCAGCTATGAAACAAAACTTTTCTGTCAAACTCATACCACAACTACCACCAGCAATGCATAACCACAATTTTCTCAAATCTCAGTCACCCCTTCAAAATGTTATGGCATAACCGGGATGAGAATTAATTTAAATAAGAAGGAACTGGAATAAGTCATTGCCATTAGAATATTTATCAATTGTCTACAATTAGAATCAGAATAAGATTGATTACCACTGAGATATTTACTAAGTGCAAAACCAAATGGGCTTGTGTTACCAAAATACCTTTCTATAAAATAATTTATATTTTCCTTACCTACTTACTAATAAAATATTTCAAATGCCAAAATTTTCATTTACTGATAATAAGACTATCAGAATACCTAAAAAATACAAAAAAAGATACGCCATATGTGCCTTGAATCTAGCCTATCTAGGTACGGGATTCGAGTTTTGGACACAAGTAAATCACCTAAATTGGCTGGCAAATATCTACCTATATCCATAAAAAACTTTCACAGATTATCAAATAGTT